GCTCGCTGCGCGTTCTCCATCTCGGGTGACAGAGTGGCTTTCTGCGAGACTCCTCAGCCATGGGCTGAGTCTCTCCGGAGCCAGCCGACCTGCCTGAGCCGCTTTCCCTAGGCCGGCTCTGACGGGTGCTGTGGTGGGTCTGGGGGCTTAAGGCGCTCCTTGTAGCGGGCACGGCGAACCCCAAGGCAGCAAGACCGGCAGGGGTTAGGAAGGACGGGCTGTCCCACATCTTCCTGCTCGGCACTGCTCGCGCTTTTTTCTCTGCGCTGCTCTGGGAATAAGGGCTGAGCACGTTTCTGCTGCCAGCCGTGCTTGCAGTTTGCAGGGCTTGCGTCGGGCATCAGAAATCCTTGGAGCAACTGAGCGGCACTGGGGAAGGCAGCCATAGTTGTCCAGGTAGTGGCTGGGGAGGGTGTTAGTGCTGGGGCACTTGTTGTTCCCTTGAAACGTGGCCCCGAGACTGCCCCGGGCTGGGACGGCTCCTTGGGCCAAGGCTGAATGTGGCACGTGCCAGCTCAGGAGGAGGTTTCCCCAGAAAACGGCTGGTTTGCTGGTTGTGGGGAAGCAGCCAAGCTGGTGGCTGCCTTTGTGACCCTGGTAATCCCCCTCAATGCAAAAGGGTCACAAAGTTGTCCTTGTGTGCACTCACGCTGGTCCATACAGCGTGGTGTCAGTGCTGCCCCGGGCGCTTGGCTGGAGCATATTTCATTTCCCAATGAAGGGAGAAGCTGGCTGGGAGAAGGTGCTGGTGGGCGGATGGTCTGGTGCTGGGCACACAGTGGCAGCTGTGGCCGTGGGCCAGCAGCTCTCCTTGCAGCTCCTCTCACCCTGTGCCAGCTGCCTGTGTTTGTCTCCCAGAGCTTTTTGGGGATGGGTGGCTGCTGTGAGCAAGGGGAGAGTGGGGTGTCGCATGTTTAGGGCGATTGCAGCCTGCGGAGCGTGCGGGCTGCTCGGCAAGCATCATCGGCACATGAGGGATGTGTGCCGGGGGCCTGCACTGTGTGTCTGGCCACGCATCCCTGCCAAGGGTGTAGTGCAGATGCTGGGAGCAAAGGCGGAATGGCCACATCCCAGTGAGTCAGCCCAGCCTGCCAAATCCTCCGCTGGAGGAATGCTTTGTCTCCCTGCCATTGCTGCTGCACACGCCCACGCACCGGGCCAGAGGGATGCGCCAGCAGTCAAGTTTGGGCTGAGGGATCTCCAGGCTGCCAAATCAGTGGGGAGTTGCTGGGAGACAGCGGGCAAGCTCTGGGACGTGCCCAGGGGCCCCGTGGTGGGGACCACACTGGGCTTGTGCAATGAGCCCGTTTCCCACCATGGTCTCGCTGGGTTCATCCCTGGCTCGCTCTCCTGGTACAGGTGCTGTGTAGGTGGGATATGCGCAGCCCCACAGTGCCATGAAGGGAGCTGCCACTGTCCCTGCCCCATGAGTGTGGCAGGGGCTTGGTGCTGACAGGTCGGCTGGTGGCAGGCACAGCTCCTGTGGGCATCACTGCCTGCCCTACTCCTCCGTGTGGGTCCTGCTGCCTGAAGGACACTGGGCTTCATGCTCCGACAGTCCCTTCTCTTGCAGGGCTTTTGAGCAGCTGAGCACCACCCACGAGAGGACAAGATCTTCAGGGGAAAAATGACCAGTGTTGGGAAGAAGCTGATCCGCCGGCGCGTGGTGGATCTGAGCTCTGAGGACACGCGTTTTGCTCGCTGCCTCTCCACATTGGACCTCATAGCCCTGGGGGTGGGCAGCACGCTGGGAGCCGGTGTGTATGTGCTCGCTGGGGAGGTAGCCAAGGAAACGGCTGGTCCCTCCATCGTCCTCTGCTTCCTGGTGGCTGCTCTCTCATCAGTACTGGCTGGACTCTGCTATGCAGAGTTTGGGGCCCGCGTCCCCAAGACCGGCTCTGCCTACCTCTACAGCTATGTCACCGTCGGTGAGATCTGGGCTTTCACAACCGGCTGGAACCTCATCCTCTCTTATGTGATAGGTATGGGGTTGGGCAGGGTGCTGGCATGTGTGCACCTTCCAGCGTGGCACCGGCAGCGTGGAGGGCTCATGGCGGCAGCGTGTGGTGCTGCGGGAGCGGAGTGTGGGGGTGGGATCAGCAGGGAGGTGGGTGCTGGGGGTGGCTGGTGTCGCTCTGCCCTGGGCTTGGACCGATGCACAAATTTGCCATCGACCAGGCACGGCCAGTGTGGCTCGAGCGTGGAGCGCGGCATTCGACAACATCATCGGCAACCACATCTCCACCTTCTTCGTGAACAAGACCACATTGCACCTGCCAGGGGTGCTGGCCGAGCGCCCGGACTTCTTCGCCCTGATCCTGATCGGGCTGCTCACCGGTGAGTGTGTAGGAGCAGCTCTTTGGCACCGCGGGTGGTGGCACAGGAGCCCAGTGGGTCCCCCACTCACCCCTTCCATCCCTGCAGCACTACTGGCCTTCGGCGTCAGCGAATCCGCTCTTGTGAACAAAATCTTCACGGCAGTGAACCTGGTGGTGCTGGGCTTTGTCATCATCGCCGGCTTCGTGAAGGGAGATATCAAGAATTGGCAGCTCTCAGAGGAGGACTACATCAACCGCTCGTACCCGGACCCACCTGATGACATCAGGTGAGGAGCGTGACTGTACCAGGGCAGGGTCCGGCACAAGGGCTTGGCACCGGCCCTGCTGTTTCTGCACCCCACAGCAGCTGCTCTCCTCCCTCCTTTCCAGGAAAAAAGAGTTTGGCTCTGGCGGGTTTATCCCCTTTGGACTGGAAGGGATCCTGACCGGCGCCGCCACCTGTTTCTACGCCTTCGTGGGCTTTGACTGCATTGCCACCACAGGTACATCCTTGGGCGAAGGTGGCGTGGGCATTTCGCCAGCACAGCTGGTGGCTGGCTGGGACCCCCTGGAGAGGATGCTGCATGGTGTGGGAAACAGCCTGTCCCACCGCTCCTGGGAGGTTTCCCCACGGAGACTCTGTCCCCAGCTGGGCCAGCACAAAAGGGATCACAGCCTGCCCTGCCCCCCACAGGGCTCCCCGCATCGCGCGGTGGGAGCGGGGCTGCACCCTGCCTGCGCAGGCAGCTCCCGGGGCAGCAGGGAGCCTTTCCGCTGCTGAGTCGAGGCTGCGACAGCACTGGGAATTGCTAGTGCCTCCGGGTTGTTTCCCAGCCTCAAGAAACATTTTTCTAAATGCCTGAGTTCATGCAGAGCTGCCACTCTCTGGAGCGCAGGGAGCCTTCTTAATTTCCTCTCATTCCCCCAGGAATCTACTTAGTGGGTGGCTGGTACAGGCTGTTCTGCCTGACCTCCCTGCATGTGCCTCCCTTCCCCCAGGGGCTCCCGGCAGCCGCCTCCTTCCCTCCTATGCTGGCCGCCGAGCCCCTTGCTGGCAGCGTGGGTGCAGCGGCAGAGCAGGTGGGCAGAGGGCACGGTGGCTGCTTCACTGAGCCCACGCACACAGAGGATCCGCATTCAGCGGGCTCCATGGGGAGCGGGAGCTGCTGGTGGGGGCAGAGGGCCGGCCTGACCCACGGAGGCTGTGAGCTCAGCTTCCGGGCAGCTGCATGCCTGGAAGCCAGGGCTGCAGCCACGCACCTCTGCTCTCGGCAGTGCCAAAGCCTCTGCCAGTGCAGCAGCACGGCTGGGTAGCCCTCCTCTCCAACAGCCCCTGCCTGCTACTGCCCAGCCCCACACTGCCATGGGAAGTCCCTGCTGCGGCTGCTCCCCCTGGACCAGCTGCCCCATGCTGTGCCACGGAGTGAGGACGGACACTGTCTTTTGTCTCCTCACAGGGGAGGAAGCCAGGAACCCACAGCGCTCGATCCCCATTGGCATCATTGTGTCCCTCCTCATCTGCTTTGTGGCTTATTTTGGGGTCTCTGCGGCCCTGACCCTCATGGTGCCCTACTTCCTCCTGAACAAGAAGAGCCCCCTGCCTGAGGCTTTCAAGGCGGTGGGCTGGGAGCCCGCCCGCTACGCCGTTGCCGTTGGCTCGCTCTGTGCCCTCTCCACCAGGTAGGACTGGCTGCATACCTGACAGTGCCTGGTGTGGCATGGGGACCAGCAGCACGTGTCCTGGCTGGGCTGGGGGTTTGCCCCATCTGGTTGCTGTCCTGCTCCTGGCAGAGAGCCGGTCCCGTCCTCATCTGGGTGGTGGACAGCTTGCCTGGCAGGCCCTGAGCCATCTCTCCCCATGGCAGCTTGCTGGGCTCCATGTTCCCCATGCCCCGCGTGATCTATGCCATGGCGGAAGATGGGCTGCTCTTCAAGTTCCTCTCCAGCATCAACAGTCGCACAAAGACCCCTCTGTCAGCCACCATCACCTCGGGGCTCCTTGCGGGTAAGGCTTCTGACTGCTGCCTCACGCTCGGCTCTGCGGCGGTCTGGAGCCATGCTCATGCTGCATATCCTCATTGCAGCAGTGTTGGCCTTCCTGCTTGACCTGAAGGACCTGGTGGACCTCATGTCGATCGGCACGTTACTGGCCTACTCCCTGGTGGCGGTGTGCGTGCTCATCCTCCGGTGGGTGCCTCCTCTCACGTGGCGGTGTTTTGGGCGGATATGCCTTGTGTCAAGCTCAGGGTTTGCAGCCACAGCTTCTTCCCAGGGGTACACAGCCTGGGGAAGCATCAAGCCCCCAAGATGGAGGCTGATCACAAGAGCCTGTGCGGTGTCTCTGGGCACATCCGTGGGGTGGCTGTTGCAGGGCTGCTGCCAGAGTAGCATATGGGGCTGGAGGTGCAGGAGGGCTATGAGGATGCTGCCCACTGTCCCCCTGGGCTGGGAAGTTCCTCGGGCTGTGCTGCAGCTTGTCCCATCTGCCCAGGTATCAGTCTGGGCAGCTGAACTCCCCGAAGGCCATGGAAATGCTGGAACTGAACGGGAACGAGGAGGAGAGGGTGATCATGAACCCGGCCATCACCGCCACTGGTGCCCAGCAGAAAGAGACACTGTCCCTGGCAACACTCTTCAACCCGCCTGCAGACACCCCCACTGCGCTCTCGGGGCGCATTGTCTATGTCTGTGTCTCGGTCATCGGTGAGTGAGTGGGAGCCAGCAGCCAATGTCCCCTCCTACCAGGAGCTGGAGCTTTTTGGCAGAGCTGGGAAGGGATAGTGGGCACTCCAGGTGGAGGAGAGGGGCCAGGCAGCACAGGCTGCCAGCTGCTGTTGGCAGTGCCAGCAGGCACTGGACCTGCTCTGTCCTGAGCAGCGTGCCAAGCACAGGGCATGGCTGGGCTTTGGGGCACACGGGGGCTGATGGAGGATGTAGGCGCTAAGGCATGTGCGGGGGGACATGGGAGCTCCCTGTGACAAGCCTGGCCCAAACTGGCCACCCAGCGAGGGTGGTCCCTGGCCCCCTGAGAGTGCTCAGGCTCAACCAGCGGGGTTTGATCCGTCCATCAGTGGCTTCATTGTGCAGCCAGAATGGGATGGTTCAGCCCGGTCTGGTGCAGATTCCCCTTGGCTTGCTGGGCTGGCCCGTTCCCCCAGCAAAGTGCTTTCCTAAGGCTTTGGGGTGGGTGTTGGAGACAGCACGGTCTGGAACCGTACCTGCCTGAGAGGAGTGGGTGCCTCAGCCCAGCCGTTGGTGAGGCTCAGGGTCCCAGGGAGGCCACGTGCTGTGCAGCCCCCTGACTGCCCCCTCTCTTGCAGCCACACTGATCACAGTCATCTGTGTGGTGCTGACCCTGGAGGTGAACGCCCTGAAGGACGCCAGTGTAGGCTGGATTGTGGCCCTGGTGTTGCTCCTCGTGGCGCTGCTCATTCCCACCATCATCGTTTGGAGGCAGCCGCAGAGCAACGCACGGTTGAACTTCAAAGTGAGTGCAGCCCCCGGCAGCTCAGTGTCTGCACCCCCCAGTAGGGTCTGGGCCATTGCAGGGTCTGCTAAGGCTTGCTGCTGGGCAGTCACCGTCCAGGAGAGCCCAGGGCCCTGAGTTGTGGCTCTCCAAGGTGCAGTCCCCAGCGTGGAAGTGCCTGGGTGCTCTCTGGGCTGTGGCAGCGGTGGGATCCCTTCCTGGCCAGGAGCATCCTTAAGCCCAGCTAGGTCCCTCACGGCACAGCTGACACGGCTCCTCTTGTCCCTCTCAGGTACCTTTCCTCCCACTCCTGCCGATCTTCAGCATCTTCGTTAACATCCTGCTGATGGTACAGCTGAGTGCTAGCACCTGGGTGCGGTTTGCCGTCTGGATGGCTGTAGGTAGGTGTCCTGCGTCAGGGAGCACGGTGCCCGCAGCATCTCCCCTGGGGGGCTGTTACTCTGGCAGCCCACCGCCACACATTTCATTGCGGAAACTGTCCTGCAGGTTTTATGATTTACTTTGGCTACGGGATTCGGAACAGCGTGGAAGGGAAAAATGCGGAGGAATCCTGTGCCACAGTAGAAAAGCCTCTGCATCACCCTGGACTGGACCTCAGCCCCAGGGCTGCTGCGGTCTGAGGGACTGGGCACTGGCACTCCGTGGACCTCTGCCAGTATTCCTGCTCAGGGACAAGATCATGATCCGCACAGTACACCCATCTCTCCTCAGCAGGGAGTGAGTCCCAGAGTCAGGACAGCAGAGCTGGGTCGTGCGCTGCCCTTTCCCCTTACACAGCAGAGGTCACGGAGATGAATCCCTGAGCTGGGTGGGAGCGCTGGTGGTCGGGGGCTGGTCTCTGCCATCTCCCCAACCCCGCAGAGGGGCAGTGACACCGGCACGGCCCTCCTGCTGGGGAAGCTGCTGTCAGAAATGCTGCTTTCCCTGCATACAAAAGGCCCCACGTGATGGTGCAGCTGTATTTGTTCCATCTGTTCATGTGGCTGTGGTCATCACCTCCTCTCTGTGCTTTCCAAGCACTGGGCATGTACATGGCAGCCATGGCTGGAGCCGTGCAACGAGGCTTGGGGTGGCTGGTTCTGGTACTGCGAGCAGCCCAGTACTGCCCAGCAGCATGGGGCTCAGCCAGCCAAACCCCTCTCTGTGCTTGGGGTTTGCATCCCACGCTGAGCCCTGTGCTGCCCCGGCCATGATGCTTGGTGTGAGCATCTAGCTCGGGTGTCTGTCATAGATGTCCACAGCATAACCGTACCAGTGTCCAACCTCGTATGCCTTTGTATAATTGGTGTTTTAACATTGACTTTTATACCTATTAAACTAAATGTTTTTTTAACTGCTTGGCTCTGTTGGTCTTGCCCCATCTCCTGCTAATGCCCTGTGGTCACAGGCCCCTGGCAGGACCCCATGTGCTGCTGGGCCGGGTGCCAGGTGGGTGTCAGGCTGGTGCCAGTGCAGAGCGGGGCTCGGCCACAGCCGGCTGTGCTGGCTGAGCTTCCTGCCCCAAACCTGCCGCCTGGAGCCACCAGCCCTTACATTGTCCCCTGGGACAGCAAGCCAGGAACCACGGAGCAGTGCTCCAGGACAGCTCAACCTGGCGCTGCTGGTACCTGTGCACAGCACCCCAGCCTGCCACGGCCCTGTGCTGCGTGGGAGCGTGTCACCAGGTCCCAGGCCAGCGACTGCGGTAATGACCTTGGAAATATCTCCTGGAGGCTCCAGCAATGGTCTGCAGAGGAAGCACAGCCAGGAGCTGGGCTGCATCTGTGTGAGAAGATGATGATTTCCCAGATTCTGGTCTGGTCTAAATCAGCCCTGATGGATTATTTTGCAAACTAAACTGATTTACGGCAAATAGATCTTGCATGGTTCTGGCATCTCTCCCTTTTTACTGGCAGTGGAGCAGGGTCACTGCACGGTCAGCGGCGAGGCCCCCACGCCATCAGCTGTGCCCAGAGCAAAAGGGCTGCGGCACCTCCTGCCCCTGCGCTGGGGACTGCCTGCCCTGCTGCCTCGGGCTCCAGCCCACAGGCACAGCTCACTCCCAGCACTGGCTCCTCGCAGGCGCTTCCAGCTCTCCTGCTCATTCCGGTGACGTAGGGTGCCACGCTCATGCAGGGGTGTCGCGGGGTGTGGGTACCTTCTGGCTGGGGGCAGCACATGGGGCCCTGCTGAGCCCTGAGCCCGCAGTCCCCCAGCACCCATGCACTCTGGTTCGGGTGCTGTTGCCCAAGCCCAGTGGGCAATGGGCCTGTGACACGGCTGCAGCCCTCACCCCTGGCTCAGCACTGCTGCAACCCCCCATGCCTTCGTTTGTGCCTGTGTCCCCATGCACGTGTGCATGTCCATGCCCATGGCTGTGCATTGGTCTGTTTGTGCCCACGAGCATGTCTGTGCCTGGCTCCAGGCCATACCACTGCGCACCCATCCTGGGTCCATCCACTGTCCCATCCTGGACACCCACTGAGACTGGCAGAGCTCTGGACATGGAAGCCCTGGGCAGCTCCCACCACAGCAGTCCGGCAGGGACGCAGCTGTGCCCTTGGGGGGGGGACCGCAGCCCTGGGCGGCCACACTGGGGTGACCCTGCCTCCCTCTGCCTGCAGCCTCCTTCTGCCCCATCGGGGCTAGCAGAGCTGCCAGGGATGGCACCACATCTCCCCCCCGAGGCAGCACCTATGCCTTTGCTGTTACTGTTCGTTGCGCCCCAGCGTGTTGTCGGCACAGCTTTAATGGCTGCCACACCAGCCTGCGCGTGGCCTGCTGCGATGCTCTGATAGCAACCCGGGGCTCCATTGTGCAGAGAGGCGCTGGGAGGGAAGCACGTTCCTGGGTGATGGCTGCCAGGTGTTGGGGGCTGCTGGGTGGGCTTCCCCCTCCCGTGCCACTCTGAAGGGGCCATTTTCCAGTTTGAGAAAACACAGCGCAAAGCAGAGCCTGGTTGTGCCACCGAGAGTCCCGGTCCCCAGCCCTGCACACAACTGCCCATGGTTTGCCCCGGCAGCCCCAGCATTCCCACAGCAGGCTGCGTTCCTGCCCGCCGCCCAGCCATGGGCCTCCCTGGGGCGGTTCCAGCCCTGCGTGGCGGCTCCAGCCCTGCCTGGCTGCTGGCAGAGCCCTGGAGGGAACGAAACAAGCCTGAAACTGCTCCCCTGCCTGCGCCGCTGCCGGCACAGGCGTGGGCAGGAGCACAGGCAGGGGAGGCAGGGCTGGCCCCTGATTCAGTGCTGGCTGCAGTGCCGGCAGGGGAGACTCAGGCAGGCCTCCCCTGGAGCCACAGCCAGGGCTTGGTTTGGGATTGTCCTGCTGACGCCCCCCTGGGTTTAAAGGGGAGCTGGAGGGTTGTTGGCTCCAGCTGCATTTGGCCCAATGTGCTAAGGGGGCAAGCAGTTGGGGCAGCCTTGGCCACTGGCTGACGGTGACACGCTCCAGCTGTGGGCCATGCTGGGGACACAACACCGCGTGTCAGGGTGCGATGGTGCAGAGAGCTGGTGGCTCTTGGTATCCCTCCCCGTCTGGCTCCACCCGGTCCCCTGCGGCTTCCATAACCCCACGCACCGCCACATGTCCGGCGCAGAACCTGGCTGCCATTGGGGGACACAGGGCTTTCCCGGCGGAGGCATCGGAGCAGCAGTCTCTGCGCAGCAGATGCTTGCCAAGGAAGAACCTCCGGTGGGGCTGCCGAGAGGAGCCGGTGTGGGTTTGCAGGCTCGGGGCAGGACAGAGGAGGACATCTGTGCCCCTGAGCTGTTGGAGGCAGAGCTGGCACTGCAGAGTCTGCCCCCTGCACTGCTCCCTTGCCAGGACAGGGGTGGCCCTTGCAGCAGATTGAATTTGAAATTGGGTACAACAATCCGTTTGGGAGTTACAATAGGCTGGCTGGTCCGCAGCGCTCTGTGACACCAAATACTTCGACCTGAGGAGTTACCTTCTCCCCTGCAGGACCAGTGAGCAGGCAATGTCAGATCCTCCTCCCCACAGGTGACCAGCTGGTGGAGTGGAGCTGCGGGGGCTGCCAGGTGGGATGCACCCATCAGTGGGGTGCGAGAGCCCTGGAATCCGGGGAATCCACCCCAGGGCAGACTGGGTTACTGGCGCAACAGAGCGAACTCATCAGCTCGTGATATTTCTGCTGCAGCGCTGGCTTGTGCTGCAGGGCCTCACCGTCCAGAAGAGCTCCAGGAGATCAAAGCCAGTGCTGGGTGAGATTTCTATCGCTCTTTACTCACCCGGCTCCAGGCAGGTCCCAACCCTTCTGCTTTCTGTGGTAACAGCTTAAGCTGTAACCCAGTAGCTGGCAGGAGGCTGCATGCATCTGATAATCCTCCCGGCCCTGGGCCACGGCAGGTGGCTGGGTCTCTAATCGTGTGGGCTTAATGCTCTCCTTGCTTTGCCTTTGCAGGTTTGGCACAATGACTTGCTGCCAGGTGGTTGCTCTTCCCTTGCTCTCCTTTCTTCCCAGTGCTGCAGCTGGTGACCTGGTTCCCGCTCGTGTTCCCGGTCCGTGCTGCAACTGGCCATGGGGCAGTTCTTGTCACAGCCCGTCCCGGAGCTGACACCTGGTCCCTCAGGACCTACAGGAGTACCTCTCTTACGAGACAGTGTATCCCAACGGCACCCGCACCCTCACCAGGGTGGAAGTGAGCCCCTGGGCAAGTGGCATGGAGAGGAGATGGCGGAGGCAGTGTGTGCCATGCAAGCAGCAGATTTGTGGTACAAACAGGTAGTTTTCCATCAGTGGGAGCCACTTCCTGATGAACTACCCCTAATCTGCCACTGTCGAGATCTCCACGGGCTGCAGGGGCGTGCTGGTGTCCAGGTGGCGATTCCTCACCACTGCCCACTGCATTCATGCCAGCAAAGACTGTGTGAAGGGGGCCAAGAAGATCAAGGTGGGGTTCCTGATGCTGGCGCAGGGTGCTGGCAATGCGATGGGGATGGGGAGGCTGGCGATGTGCTGGGATCAGGTGCAGCCCAGTCAGCATGGACTATGATTATGCGCTTTGGGGGGTGTGCGGGCCACATCAGCGCCTGCACATGAATATGATGGTGGCTCTGGCAGCGGAGGAGATGGCTGTGAAGAGGATTAATATCTCAGAGTTTGACAGTGACTGGCCGGGTGAGCTGGTCTACTGCTTCTGTGGGGTGGAGGACTAGACGGTCCACCTCGTCTGCCAGCGCTGTGATGCCAGGCCTGGTGCGTCCAGCTCTGGGGTGTATGGCAAAGTGTGAGACCCTGTACGACACAAAAAGGAGAGGAGGGTGATCAGGGTCTTCTCAGGGCACCAGTGGCTGGAAGCAGCTGTGGAGCACTATGACTGTAATGTTGCTGTTTGTCTGACCGCTCTAAAGCTTGCTCACATTTGTTACTGGATCAAAGGGGACTCTAAAAGCTGTCACACTGAATGAGAACTGCAGCCTGCCTCTTCCTCTCCCCAGTGCAGATGGCTTTGAGTGTGGTGTTCCTGAGCAAGAGCGCAGCCAAGGAGCCTGAGGAGGAGCAAAAGTGCTCCACTTTGTTCTATTCTCTGTCACAGAGGAAGAGGGTCTCCACACATCACAAGAGATCCAGCAGAAGCTCACTGGAGTCCAAGTCCTGGTTCCCCAGGAAGCCTGAAGGGTG